TACTCGAGGAGACGTTGAACGGTTCTGGACGTCCAATCCCCGTGCTCGAAGGCGACAATCGGCGTCTAGAAGAAGCGAACAGGCGCTTGAAGGCTGAGAATGAGGACCTGTCGAAGACCTGCCATGAGCTGTCGGGACAGTTGAAGAAGGACGAGCAGCGATATAAAGATGAGCTGAAGGCCAAGGATAAGCTGCTCGAGGCTGAAAGGTCCAGCCGAAAGAAAGAAGTTGAAGCGGCTGCTATTGCAGCGATGGAGCAGTCCCGACGGGCTTTGTGGAGGACCCAGCTTGGCCAAAGTTTCCTCAAGGCTTATCGGGAACAACTGATCGAGGATTACCTCCGCTCGACCGCCTTTCTTAAAGAGGCTGCTGCAATGGGGATGGACTTCTATACTTATAGTATGGAGGAGGTCGAGCGGCAGTTGAAGGAGATAGGGTTTACTGGGGAGCTCGACCAAGATAAGACTTGGGAGGCAATTCCTTCGGCGCCCTCCAACTTCACTGGCGATCCTAGCTTGCCTGCTGAGCATCCATGGTGGACCGAGTCATTGGAGCGGTCCTTAGCCAAGGATCCCTCCTTGAAGAGTTCCTTCGACGTGCCCCGACCTGGTGAGGCGCCATTTGTTCGTCTTGCTGTTGCTATCCCTCCACCAGTGTCGACCGTCAGTGCTCCTCTGTCTTTCTCCTGCCCGTCTTCTTCAGCTCCTGCACAATCCATCTTCGCTGCTCCCGTGCTCTCTTCGACCATGTCCCTGCAATCGACAACCACTGCTTCTCTCTCCTCCAATACGCCGCGCGCCCCGTCGACCACCACTGCAGCTGCCGCGTCTGCGCCTGCTATTCAGTCGACCACCGCTGCTGCTACCGTGTCTGCGACGGTTTCTCAGTCGACCAACACTGCTGCTACTGTGTCTGCGACGGTTGCTCAGTCGACCCCGGTTACAGTATCGAGCATGACTGCTGCGTCCTCGTCGACATCTTCAGCCCGCTCGTCTGCAGCGGCGAAGTCTTCTGTTGCGCCTTAGAAATATGTAATCTTTATGACGTTCACTTGTGTTTTTTATTCTCGCGATGTAACCTTGTTTTGTTCGTGCAATGAATGGAGTCATTTTTCATGTCTAGTTTGTTTCATTCCTTAACCTCGTGTATGTTTCGTCTATCGTGGTTATTCCTGATGATGTATGCTTCATGTTGTATCTTGTTTTCGACCTGTTGGGAGTGTATGTATACCTTGGCCGTTTGTGAATCACGTGGTGCGTATGTATTTTGTTTTCGTATGCTGGCCATGCCTTGTGTGCGTGTGTATGGGCCCAACGTATCTCGACCAATTTTACGGCCACGCTAGTAGCCCATTAACTGTTTAATCTACCACTTCTGCCATCGTCACGCAGTCCATCGGCACCGCTCCGTCTACCGCTGCCCTCTCAGAATAATTTGGGTGTTCAATGACGTGCCTGTATGCCTTGCTTTAGTGCTGCGCGTAATCATGTATTGATCGTGTTGTATAATACTGTCTGTTTCCATTCTTCTTGCTGTTTCGTATTTTAATTCTTACGAATATATTGACTGTGGTCCTCATGAATATGCCGGTTATCTTTGTGCTCGATACCTTTCCTGTTACGCCTTCCATTGCTGCCCAATGATTTGACAAACTATAAAAATCGCTCGCTGCTCCCTAATGAGTATAAACCATAAAAACGCGACGCCATTAATCATTGCCCAGTTGATGTGTGCCCCACGCGGGGTTTGGTCTTGTCACTTGCCCACCCTAAGGGATGTT